CTCTGCTGTTGCCTTTTTGCAAATGTTATTGCTTGGAGCTAGATCACCACTTGGGCGATTTTTGAAAAATTCATAATCCATTAGGAAAGAGAATTGGTGTAGCCATGCAGGCTCCAGCCAGTCACCAGGCAGCCCTGCAGTCTCATAGGCTGTATTTTAATCTGCCATCCAACCCCAGGGCAGTCTGGGAGGGTTTGGGGATAGATGGTGGAAGTTGAAAGGTGGCTCTCCATTCGACCTGGAGCTGAATTGTCTGGAAACTCCCAAGGTAGGTGTTTGTGGTTGAACCCTGTGCTCCTCCCTACCCAAGTATGTGTCCATCTAGAGCTTCATGATGGGATCTCATTTGGAATAAGATCACTACAGATATGATTAGTGACAATGAAGTCACCTTGGTCTAAGTGGGCCCCAAAGAACAAGAGAGGGGCACAGAGAAGGGACCCTGTGAAGATGGAGTGGAGGCTGAAGGGTACAGCAACAAGGTGACAGGCAATGCTGAGAGCCAGAAGGGGCCTCTGGAAGGACCCCGCCCTGCCGACGCCTGCCCTCCAGAACTGTGAGAGGGTACGTATCTGTTTTTAAACAGCCTTTTGTGTGGTAATGTGTTAGACAGCTGTTAGGGTTCAAAGGGGAAATGTCCCCCACAGGCTCAGGTTTTGGACACCTGCTCCTCAGTTGATGGTACTATTTTGGGAGGCTGGGGATCCTTTAGAAGGTGGGTTCTGGCTGGTAGAAGTAGGATGTCAGAGACCTTTGAAGGTGATGCTCTATCCCCTTGTTCCTGCTGTCCTCTCCTCTTCCTGTTTCTCCACATGAGGAGCCTCTGCCACACCCTCCAGCCACTGTGAAATCTACCATGCCTTTGCCCATACGATAGACTAAAACTCTCTGACACTATGAACCAAAAATAAAACTTTCTTCTTTTAAGTTGCTACTGTCAGGTGGATGTGAAAGTAATGAAAACAGGCTCTAACCCTCTGACACCATGGGAATGTACAGAGACACCCAGGGCAGCCCTGCTAGATCCCAAAGAGTCTGAGGAAAGGCTTGTCTGAGTCCTGGCCACCTTTGTTCTGAAGCCTCAGAGAGTGTTATATCCCCAACAGGGCCCAGACCTTGAGACACAGTGCCAGAGCCCCAGGTTTTCTCCAATGCCTGTGTCTATCTGTCATTGAGGTCTTTAGTGCCTTCTGAACTTTCTGGGGCTCCAGGGATAGGAGTATTTGTAAGGGTTCTCCAAGAAGCACAGCCAAAGATGTGATTATCTGTCCCAGCAAGATCTGTTTTAAGAGTTTGGCTCAGCAGTTACTGAGGCTGGCAAGTCAGTGGTCTACAGGGTTAGCTGGTGCACTGGAAAGCCAAGAAGAGCTGATGCTGTAGGTCAAGTCCCAAGGCTGCAGAATTCCCTCTTGCTCAGATGTCAAACTTTAATTCTACCAGGCTGTCAACAGATAAAATGTGTCTTGTCAGTCTCATGGAAGGCAGTCTATTTTATCCCAAGTTCATCGGGTATATGTTAAGCTCAGCCAACCTCGCCTCTGATAGGGTTGACCAGATAGTTCTGCACCGTGGCCCAGCCAAGTGGACACATGAAATTAACTACTATGGCGGGCAAGTGTACTGGCATGAAAACTGAAAGATGAGAACTAAAGCCCAGAGAGGTCAGAAGATTTCCCCCAAGTTCACCAAGTAAATTGGCTGTCATGAGGATCTGTGAGTAGGTCCAGTGGGCAATGAGATAAATCCAGATTGAATCCACATCCTCTTAGAACCATTTTGAAACCTGATCTTCTTATGAGAGCGGTAAAGAGAGAAATGTTTGCTTCTTGTTTGTGCCTTTGTGGTATTCTTATGATCCTGCAAGGCAGGTGTGATGGTTTGAATGAAAATGTACCCCATAGGCTCCAAGTATTTGGACATTTTGTCCCCAGATGGTGGCTCTGTTTTGGGAGGTTTTAGAAGATGTGGCTATCCTGGAGGAAGCACGTCACTGGGAGTGGGCTTAGAGCGTTCTCAAGCCTTGCCAGATCTCCAGTCGCTCTCTTGCTTCCTGTACCTGTGTGATGATGTGAGAGCTTCACTTCTGCTGCTCCTGCTCCAGCCACCTTCAGTCACCATGCCTCCCTGCCATGACAGACTGTACGTTCCCTAGAACCATAAGCTCAAATAAACTCTTCCTTCTATAAATTGCTTGGGTCAGTGTTTCTATCACAGCAACAGAAAAGTGACTAATACAGTAAGAAACATGGTCACTGATGAAGGACAGTTGCTTTGTTACCAAAGTCACAGCTGTAACACTAAATCATTGGCTCTGAAGTCAAATCATCCCATTCTACTGATAAGAAGACTAAGGTGAAGAGCAAGCTGTCTGAGGATACACAGTAGCAAAACGGGAGGAGGGGCTCCAACCTGTGCTTCTTGGATGGACCCCCCAACATGCATTCCCTTGAGTGCAGTCCACACTATGAGTAAGCCTCCTTCCAGACATGTGCATAAGGCACTGTGTTTGGTTTTCTCAGCAGCTCTGCCAGTAAGGGGCTTCTGTGCCACCTTTCCAAGCAGGGGCCAGGATGAGGGGGCTTATTTAACACTCTTGGTCACACAACTGAGCAGCATCTTTCCTCTGAACCGGGGGCCTGCAAAAACCTATTAAGATTCCAGGGCTGGTCCTCAGGGCCATCTTCAGGGACACATCTACCTTTCTTCTCTTGGCACCCTTAGCCTTTATTCTCTCTGACAAGTGAGATGAAATAAAGACATACTTGGAAGAAAGGAAGGTGGACCAAAGGGGGGAGGGAGGCAGGAGGGAGAAGGGAAGAAGGAGGGAAGATGGAAGGAGGATGGAGTTTGGAGGGGGGAAAGGAGGGAGGTTGGAGGGAGGGGGGATGGAGGGAGGAGGGAAGAAGGGAGCCCCCCTCTCTGATCCAGCAGCACCCCCCAACATACACCTTCTGTATAAGCCAGATGCATGTGGGTTTAGACAGTGAAATGGACCACCGTCTCTCTCTTAAACTGCAGTCATTGCCCCTCAATTCTATGGGGCTCATTGGAAATTTTGTTTTTGTTGTAATTTGAATATAAGATCATTTTGATTAAAGAGTTTTGCAAACTCTCCATTTCTTTGGCAGTCTTGTTACCTCCACCTCCCCACCCAATTAAATTAATAAAGAGAAGAAATTAAAACCCATTATTGCAGTCTTAAGCAGGGATAGATGAGCTCTGGGTAAAGGGGCATTTGTACATTGAGGGACTTTGTTAGGACAAATGTGTCTGACACATTGAAACAATCTAGCATAGTAGGACCAGCCTTTTTCTTTCCTTGGTGTGTGAGGGAATCTCTGGCAATCTCATTTGACAGGAGGAGGATGGTCCCTATGGTAGGAGAGTGACTTGGAAGGGGCCATCAGGATTGTTTGGGGCAGCTGCTAAAATATGAAGTCTCAACCTCTGTCCCCCTGGGAAAAGTGGGGTTGTGGGACCTGACGTAAATGATGGGAAGGAAAGGCCAGGAGGTTGTTTTCTGTTTTAAAAGGTCAGGGAGCCACAGGTCTAGAAAAGTACAATCCATAGTTAAGAAAATACTTTGAGATAGAGAGGGTGGAAATCACCAGGAAAGGAGAAATGAGTCAGCCAGGAAAAGCAGCAGAGGCAGAGAGGAGCTAGGTCATGGGAACAAAATGAGGAGCCTCAGAGGGAAGGTGCTGGATGCCAGGCAAATGCATACCTTACAGAGAAGATTCAGTCATAAACATGTATGCACCAATCAACACAGCAACTAAATACAGAGGGCCAGAAGTATCAGAGATGAAGATTTGTTAGAAAATGCCAGGAAAGGGCCAGCAAGATAATGGCTCATCAGGTGAAGGTGCCTGCTACCAAGCCTGACAACCTGAGCTCCATCCTCCAGTTCTACATGGTATCAGAGAAGCAACTTCCAAAAGTTGTCTTCTGATGTACAAATATGTGCTGTGGCATGGGGCACATGCATAGGTGCACACATGTAATTAAATTTTTTAAAGTTCATTTTAAAGGTTTCAATACAAACTTTTCAGAATTGGACACATCTAGAGGATCATAAAGAAAAAATACTGTGCTGACCATTGTGGTCTGGCCACTGGACACATGTGGCTACTGAGCACCTGACATGAGTCAAGTTTAACTGAGATGTGTGTATAAAGGTAAGCCAGTATAAGGGTTCACGTTGGCTGTCACCTGACTGGATCTGGAATCAACTAGAACCAAACCTCTGGGCACACCTGTGAGGGATTTTCTTGATTAGGTCATGGAAATGGGAAGACCTGCCCTAAATGTGGGCATCATCTTCGAGTGGTGGCCCAGACACAAGTAGATCCTAGGGAAAAGCTTTCACGTTTTGCCTGCTTGCCTTGGTGTCTTGCTGGCGAGTGCATCCTCTCTATTTGTAAATCCATCCACCCTGTTGCTGCTATCCTTTGTTAGCATCAGAACCAGTGTCTCATCTTCCAACATACACTGAAGACCAGCAGCTCTCTGGGTCTCAGTTAGGATTGCTGCGGCATCCAGGCTTGAGGGCTGAGCAAAGCAGCTACCTGTTCCAAGCCTCTCTGGTATGCAGATATCATTGCTGGATTCCCCAGACTGTATTATGCAAGCCAGTCTAACAAATCCCCTTTACACACACACACACACACACACACACACACACACACACACATCCATTCTCCATTCTGTTCCTCTGGAGAACCCTAATACAGACAAACGTCACATTCCAAAGACTGCAAAACAAAAAAGAAAAGGCATTCTTCATTTTTATATTCCCTATTTGCTGAAACATTAATATTTTGGATCTAATGGGTTAGACAAGTCATCAAATTTATTTCATGTTTTGTTGTTGGTGGTGGTGGTCTGGTGTTGGGAACTATACCCCTGGCCTCACAGATGCTAATCATACACACTACTACTGAGCTACACCCTCAGTTCTGCTTTTACTTTTTCAAAATGACTAAAATAAAATGTCGTGAGTCCTTGTTTTGGCACGTCTATTAAAATTGCAAATGTAAAGAATATTAGCACGGCCCCTGCTCAAGGATGACACACAAATGCGTGACGCAGGCTATATTTAAGAAAAAAAAAAGTATCAAGCTGTACATGTGACATGCATGTTTCTATTGGGTGATGCTGACTTGGAGGAACAAACTAGCTTAAGTAGCCCTCGATCCTGGGAGGCCTGTCGCTCTCATCTTCAACTGGGAGGCCTCCTTGTGGTGGTTAATTCTGAAGGCCGATTTGACAGTTCTTAGAATCACCATGGAAGCACTGTTCTGAGTGTGTCTATGAGCGTGTTTTCAGAAAAGTGTAACCGAGGAGGGAAGACCCACCTTAATTGCAGGTGGCACCATTCCATGGGTCCCAGACTGAATACAAAAGGAGAAAGCGAGCTGAGTACCAGTAGTCCTCTCTCAGTGCTTGACTGGTGATACAATGTGACCAGCCTCCTAATGCTCTAGCTGTCCTGCCTTCCTCATCATGAAGAATCATGCCCTTGAATTGTGAGTCAAAATAAACCTTCCTTCCTTGAGCTGCTTTTGTTGGGTGCTTTGCCACAGCAGAACAGTAACTAATATACTTCCCCTGCCTGGTCCACAAGCATCCTTCCATCTGTGCTCCTCACTGCAGTGCACACAAGATGGAGGTGTGATGGGTTTCAAGGAGGAGATGCTGAGGAGTTCAACATCCCTTCCAACAACCTGCTAGAGAAATCTGGGTCTCAGATTCTTCATTTATAAAATCAACGTAAGTCCTACCACTAGGGCTGTGGTAAGGATTAAGTGAGGTGATCCCCTCTCTTGTTTTCTGAAGTGTCAAAGCTTAAAATCAAAGAAGGGTGAAGGGGGATGTCATGTTTCATTTCCAGAACATTCTTCTAGGTTCTTCCTGTTGCCTGAGGAGGGCAAGGCAGGGAGCCCTGTCTAGGATAGGCTCTGTGAGAGGGCAAGGAGGGAGGATGGAGGGAACAAGGGGAGGGAACGCTTTCGGTGGCCACTCAGTCTTGCTCCCTCACTCCTAGCTGCGCATTTCTACCACCTGAGCTCCTAGTAGCCAGATTTTTCTTTTCTTGGACAAGAACTAGCAGGTGGCTCTGGGGCTGAATGGCCTATGCCCAGAGTTTGGCATGACTGCTTGCTAATAAGTCAAGGAGCTCCTCTGAGCTTGATTCCCCTACTATAATGGCAACACCCCTAATTCTGCATCTCTGTCAGAGGTAAAAGATAGCAGGCAAACACAGCCAGGCCCCAGTAAGGGTGCACAGTCATAATAACAGATCTTTATCATAACGCAGCAGGTACCTGGGCTGTCTTTGGGGTTCAGGTGGGGAGTCTTGGAGACAGACTGCCCTCCCCAACAGCCCTGGATCACCAGCGGAAAGATTCTACTGGATAGAGCTAAGTGTGGACCACGGAGAGAAGCCAGGCTACACTGGCAGTTGGTGCTTTCTGGCAGTGAGGCTGCAGTTTATCTTGGCAGCTGCCTCTGCCATCAGGGATGGAAGGAAGAAGGATGGTGTCACGGCAGGGAAGAAAATACATCAGCCAAAAGAGTAAGGCTGCTGCTTCCAGCTTCCAAAGGAGAGTTCAGTTGTCCCTGGGATGGAGATGCGATGGGTCCCTGGATTCCAGTCCAGCATTTGCACACCAATATAGAAGGTGTTTCCAGAATCACTGGGCAGGTCATCCAACTAAATTCCATCTACAAACTCCCTCCCAGAAGCAATTGTCACTGGGATAGCTGTCCTAAAACTTGGTGACTTACAAAAGGGACAGTCATTTCTTTTTGTCCAATTCTGCAGTGAATGTGGGTGCAGGACGGTGGCTGACTGCTCCCCTGGGGCCATCTAGAACCAGTCTTCTCTGGCTGTATCCATTTAGCTATTTGACCAGGCACAGAAGATCTAAGATGGGCTCAGGCCCATGTCCCTGGCTTCAGAGTGCTTCAATAACTTGGAAAACCAACTCCACTCTTGGAAGGAAGAGCTGGCCCCCCATCACCAGGGGCAGATGAGCCATCGGGAGCCCTGATGATAAACATGCAATGTTCTCTGGGGCTGTTTGTAGCTTTGTTCTCTGGCTCCAATGTCCGATCCCATTTGCAATAGACTTTGGTGCTTTGGCTGCCTTCTTTCAACACCAAGACCCTTTCCCTCCTCTGGGTCTTTGCAGGAGGATCGTTTTGGGCAGGGCACCATGTGAAACTCTAGCAAGTCAGCCCTAAGTGCCAACCTGGCTCCACCACTCCCAGCTGTGCAACATTGGGCAAGTTTCTTAGCCTCTCTGAGTCTCATTTTCCCTGCTGTGATTGAGGAACCTGTGGCCTGCACAGCAAGACATCTATGGAGATGAAATAAAATGGAACAGGTAAAGTGCGTGCTTCAACCTTGCCTGGCACCAGAAGGCAGGCCAGTGTTGAATCTTGATCCTGGGTCCCTCCACACTTGAGGATTCCCACCTCTGTGCTAGGTAAACACCCACTAGTATTTTATGGCTCAGTCTTTGGTTAATTTCTTCCCTGGGTTTCCCCCAACCCACACTCCAAAGAGAACTAAACTATCCTTTCACCTCCCACCATCTTCTGTAATATCCAGATTGTGCAGGGGACCCCAACATTGACTCACTTACCACATGCCTATGTGTCTGAAAAGGTGGGGGTTCTACAATGTGGGGGCTCTATTCACTCTTTTATCTTGGAACTCAACGCACAATAGATGCCCCACAAAGCTGGGTGAGTGAATGTATGAATGCACTCAGGCATGCCTGGGCTTCCCAGAACGCAGTCTCCTTTCATTTCTCTTGTGTCTTCCCTTTGTCCCTGGAGGGACCAGGCTTCTACCTCTCCCCACAGAGCAGTGCCACACTGACAGCCCTGGAGTCAAATGTCCCGTAGCTGTTGCAGTCCCCATTCATCCTGGATGAATCAGAGTCAGGAAGCCTGAGAAGGAGAGAGGGGGCACACTCCCCCAGGGCCACCTTTCAGTATAAACTGAAAGAGGTAGGCAGGAAGCCTAACTCAGTGCTATGGTCCTGAAGGAACACTCCCTGAAGCTGAGGCTTCTGGGCGCAAGATGGACTTGAATTCCAATCCTCTCTCTCCTTCCCATTGGCTCTGTAAACCCAGGTCAATTTTCTGGTCTCAACCCCACACCCTGTTTCTTTATCTAGACAGAGCATTGCAGGATCAAAGCACATAACATAGGTGGTACCTAACAAACCCCTATCTGGTCCTTCCTTAGTCTCAGAGCCATGACCCTGGCTCTGGCAGATTAATGATTCCATTTTATAATGGTGGATTATGAAGTACTTCCTTGGCCCTTTGGGACTATTATAGGACTTTGGCAAGTAACCAAATGTGAGTACTGGGTGGCTAGGTTCTCTTGCTGAGCAGCGAGGGCGGGTTCTGATGATACAGAGCTATCGGGTGATCATCTAACGTGCTGTGACTGGCACATAGCATCACCAGACAGCACTTCACTCTGTCTCCACAGCCATACTGGGCAGCTGATACCATGATTTTTCTTTTCTTGTAGAGAAAGAAAGTGAGGCCCAGGGAGGTAGGCGAGCAGCCCACTAAAGCGATTGGGATGGCCAGTGGCAGAGCTGAGACAAAACTCAAGCTCTGAGCTAGGACACTCACTTATTCTTCATTCAGAGGTCACTGACGATGTGAGCGTGACTGCCTCGGCAGATCTGGGAACACCCACTGCCGAATGCTGCAGAGCACTGGCCAGGGGACACACCTTGCATGTCTTTTCCCCAAATGCTGCAACAGTCTTAGACATAGAGTTGTTCATTTCCTTCCTAGAGGAGGAAACTGAGGCACGTGAAGACGAGGATGCTCTACAGTGTGCTGGTTGGTTGGTTCTGACTGTCATCTTAATATAACCTACAATTACCTGGGAAGAGAGTTTTGTGGGTTTTAAATTTTTATTTATTTATTATTATTAATTAATTAATTTAATGTGTAAGAGCTTTTGTGTGCATGTATGTAAGTGCAATTGTGGATGCAATGCTTGTGGAGGTCATGTTGGCCTCTGTGCGGGATTGTCTTGGTTATTAATTGATGTAGGGGAGACCCAGCCCATTGTGGGTGGCACCATTCCCTAGGCTGGAGGTCCTGAAAGGTGAGACAGAGGAGACAACTAATAAGCAAGCAAGGATGCATTCGTGGCCTCTCTCTGCTCTTTGCTATGGATGCAATGTGACTAGCTGCTTGAATTCCTGCTTTGACTCTCCCCAAATGAAGGACTCTATCTGGACTCATAAGTCAAATAAACTCCTTTCTCCCTCGTGGTGCTCTTTGTCAGGGGATTTGTCACAGCAAGAGAAACCAAACTGAAACATGCAGCAAGCAGGTGGTGGGGTTGAGGTTGGAATGTCAGCAGATTTCACCCTTGACCATCACAGTGGTTACTTCAAGTCAAGTATTGGTACAGGTAGGTGACACCTGTAAGTGACCCTGCTCAGTCCAGGATGTCAAGTGTTTTTCATACATATGATGGGATTCCATGCCAACCCTGAAGTGGGGTTGCTCAGTTCTCACTCTCCAAGACCTGGGATCCTACTTGACCACTGCAGCCCCTCATGCTTGGTCCCTCAGCACCATTCCCCTGTTCCTCTGCCCCCAATGGTCTACTGGGGCAGGATTATCCAGGAATTTCTCTTGATTGGATTCAGACAGCAGAAAAACTTAGAAGGGCAGAGTTTCATCTGTGTGTTCACTGATCTTGACTGAAATTGAGCTGTGTGTAACCAATACACATAACAGATAAATCCCTATCACGTTAGATTGCAGCAGAGCCTGAAATACCATTTATGCCTAATGTCACTTCAAAATGATGGTGCCTGTTACACCTGCTGCTCAATCCTATTATTTAATGCCTTAATAAAGAAGTACAGATATTACTACATTATAAATTTGTGGTTTTAATATTCTGGTAGTATTTTAATATAATTAGCATACTTTGTAATTTTTGGTATTTTTTTATTGCATGCACTGTAAAACAATATTCCCAGAAGGGTATCTAGAAGTTTCATCAGACCTCCAAAGAGTCCTTAGTTTATGAAATATTTAC